CTAACTAGGTGTGTGTTCCCGTAAGACAATATTAAGATAAAGGATAAACAAGACTAAAAGTAAACAGTGGTATTAGTCATGTGTCATGTGTTAGTCAAGAGCTAATGAAGATAGGTAACTAAAAATCTTTATATTTGAATTTGGAGATTTAAAAAGGAAATAATAGCTGGGTATTTGTGGTGCACACCTTTAATCCCAGCACTCGAGAGGCAGAGGCAGGCGGATCTCTGTGAGTTCGAGGCCAGCCTGGTCTCCAGAGTGAGTGCCAGGATAGGCTCCAAAGCTACACAGAGAAACCCTGTCTCGAAAAAACAAAACAAAACAAAAAACAAAAACAAAAACAAAAAAAAAAGGAAATAGTAGGAAAAGATTCTAAATTTCAAGTTTGTTTAATTAGGTGTCCGGGGATACTGTTAACACAGGATAAAAGGACTAACAGAATCCCTGATGAGATCCCTAAATAACAAAAGCTTCCAAACATTAGTAGCAAGAACTAATGATAATGTGAAAGAAAAGGAGGGACTTTGTCTTCTCGGAATTATTATTTAAAGATAGCCTGGAAGTGACAAGACAACATGAGTCACTGACAAGGATGACATGCCCAACTTGACTAGAGTAGAATGTGATCCAAGAACATGGTTACTTGAAATAGTGAACTCTGGCTTTCATTCAAAATATGAGAAGCCCCATTCTTCACCACAGTCCCAGTGAATCTGATAAATGACTTCCAAAGAGAATATTTAAGTTTTATATGGAAGACCTTGACTGAGATTTTCAATTATTACTACACGCTGTGTTCAAAGAGCTGAGCTGTGAGTGCACTAAGACCAAGGAAACCGAGGCAACTTCAGACAATGTCACAAAGATGCCCTGTCTATTAGAGGGATTCGGTTTCATAGAGCCCAGTCATTGTCACAATCCTGTACATTGTCTCAGGAACTTAAAGTTTGTAGGTGCTTTAGGTGGAGATTCAGGGAACCAGGCCAGGCATTAAGACTGGACTTCCCTCCTTCACACTTTGGTTTTGTTTTGGTGTGTGTGTGTGTGTGTGTGTGTGTGTGTGTGTGTTTAAAAAAGGAAAAGCCCTGGCACAACATGAGGCAAGGAATTTCCCAATGATGCCTATGAGTTTGTTTTCTGTTGGCCATCTATTGATGGACTTATAGCATTCCCTTAAGAATTGTTTGTTTCCCCAGTGAGACTCCCTAGGGGAAAACTCAGGTTTCATTTGCAAGTGGTTATCAGTTGGAGATTACTTCTGGCTTGGGGTGGAGACATGTGTCCATTTCTCTTTCAGCTCCCAAACCCTATCTGTGTGGATCTGTATAAGCCTTTGGCATTATTGCCTCAGTCTCTGAGCTCATCTGCATCTAGTGGATTTAGAAGGCTTTGTTTTCTGTGCCCTCCATCCCCTGTATCTCTTACACTCTTTCTGCTTCCACTTGCTTGGAGTTCCCCATTCCCTGAGGGGAAGAATTTGATGGAGACATCCCACTTAGGGCTGAGTGTTCCAAGTCTCTTTTCTGTCACTCTCAGCAGAATGTCTGTGGGTCTCCACATTTGTTCCCATTTGATGCAGGAGGAAGCTTCTCTGATGGTGGTTAAACAAGGCACTGATCTTTGAGTATAGCAAAAGGTCATTATTTTTATTTATTTTATTTTGATTTTTTAGAACAGTAGTGTTTGGCTTTACCCTAGATCCCTGAGCTATCTAATCTCCCATTCTTGGTAACCCAAGCAGTGTCACATACGGGTTCCATCTCACAGAGTAGACCTTCAGTCAAATTGGGTATTGGTTGGTTACACCCACAGGCTTTATGCCACCATTGCACTAGCATACCTTGTAGGCAGGACACCATTGTGGATCAAAGGGATTGTGACTAGGTTGGTGCTTATATTTCTCCTTGGTAGCATGCAGAGTAGCTTCCCCTGGTGAGGAGGGACAACAACAGGTAGTCTGCTACTGTCTAGGGATGAGACTCGGGGATTGGATTTAGAGGAGGAGAGGGGGAGTAGAGATCTGAAGCTCGCCTGCCTGCTTCTTCCATTTTCAGGCTTGGCTGGCAGGTTACCAGGGAATGCCTGCTGAAGTTGGAGGCTGGAATAAAAGATGAGTAAAGGGAGGGAAGTTCAGAGGGGAAGGAAGTAGAGGTGTGATCCCCTAGAGATGAGGGCAGACGCTGCAACATGTGGTCTGCTACAGAGCTGGGGATGAGACTGGGGCATGATTCCGGAGGGGTAAAGGGAGGGATGGAGATCTGCAGTTAGCCTACCTGCTTCCCTTGGGGATTGTAGGGTTTCTGGGGGGAGGGGGTTTCTTCTGCTGTTTCATGCAAATGGAATTTGTGTTGTGTTCTTGAGTAAATTTCATACTGTTTTTCAGTGGGACAAGCTTGTTTGCTTACAGGTATTTGGTAGGGATATTAGAGAGATTGGTGAATTACTATTCAGTTATGATTTTTGAAATTGTTAAGAAGGCATTCAGCTGTTTGGGGCAAATATCCCTTTGGAAGTATGGGGTTTTATTTGTGGGTTTTCATAGAACCATCTCTGACACATACAGTTCATACAGGGCATTGATAACAGGTTCCCTGCAGCTGTCCTAGTTCTTCATACAAAATAGTGTAATACTTCACCTAGCCTACACAGAAGGTCCCTTTACTTTTAAATATCATTCATAGATTGAACAGATACTTCCTAAATGTAGATGTTACATAACGAGCTGTTAGGCCTTTTTCTTTAGGGAATAATGACATGAAAATGTATATCTGCCCATGTTCATTCAGTACAGACTGAATTTTTCAAAATTCACTGCTTTTTAGTTGATGTACCTATAGACATGGAATGTAGGAAACAGGCCTGACCATATTCTCATGGCTTATTTTCTCATTTAATTTAGTTCTCAGTTCAAATGTAATGGCTTTTAAAAGATTTGTATAACAATTAGGAGAGAAATATTTAATTACTGTCCTTTTAATACTGTATGGATGTTCTTAAGGTTTGCTTCTGAATAAGATCAGATTGGTGCAATACAAATTTAACTTGTTCTAAGAGTGCCAAGAATAAGTTGAGGGAAAAAATAATAGGTTCAGAGTCAGAGTGGCAGTGGCTTAAACAAGACACAGGGATATTTGTAGGGATAATTGTTTCAGTCCAAAGGTGACAATTACATTTGGTATGGGAGTTGTCCATTATAAACAGCTTTAGAGACTCCCAACTCTGCCATTCCATTATCTTGTTTCCATTGTTGTAGTTGGTCCACCACAATCATCACATTCAGCTAGAGAAAGAATGGAAGGAGGAAAAGAATATGTCCACCACATTTAGCATAAGAGTTTGCATCCATTGTTTTTACACACATCCGATGGGCCAAAGCCTAGTCCTGTAGCTAGCTTTTCTAGTAACTGTGGAAAACTGGAAACCTCAGTTCAGTTTCAACAGTTAGACCCTTTCTGAGAACAAATAACAAGGGGAGGATGGAATTAGCTTTTGTTTGGTGAGTGTTTTATTCTAACCATACTACATAACATAGTATACTGCTCTCCAGTACTTCACTCTTTGCAGTAATATCTGGCTATCTATGGTAATTCTTTCATTAAGCAAGAATTATGTCTCAGTCAAGTCCTAAAATCTACAGCAAGACTCAATCAGCTTTTTAAGGTAATCTTAAAAATAGCTGTGGCCCAGGGACCCTACAGTCTGGGTAGGCTTCAGGGGCTATACAAATCCTATGTAATTGCAAGTGAGATAGATTGTGAATGTGGATTGAATGTTAGCTTGATAGTTTAAAGCCTGGACTCTGGAGTCGGACTGCCCATTCGAGATTGTGTAAATCATTGTGTTTTCTTAACTTGCTTCTGCCCAGTTTCCCTATCTGAAACAGAGGGATAATAGTATACGTAGTTCATAGAACTTCTGTAGAGACTAAACCAAATTAGTACAGTTAAAGCACTTCGCATAGTATTTCACAATATTGAATACCATATCAACATTAGAATTAATATTAAAATTATGGGTACCCAATTCTGAAGGCAGGGAATGAGTCAGGCTTCAAATTTGTCTTTTGGTAGGGTATATTATAAATTTTAATGTAATACTTCAATGATGTATGGTCTGCATAAAATTAACACTTTATCTCTTTTAATCAAAAGTGGCCTAATCCCTCATAGTACAATTTTTTTCTTAGTAGAATATACCTCAGTTGCACTTTCTTTTCAGGATTTTTTCAAGATTGTATGTTTTTCTTAATCTAACAACAATGTATTTTTATCTTAATTTCAATTATTTGTCATAATTTTAATAACATTGATATCTGTTTCTGAGACCTCAATTTAAAATTTAAATGGTTTCTTTGCCTTCCCAAGAGCATATTTGATTTAATATTTCCATGTAAGGTGTTTGAGCATTAACAAGTTGTATAAGTCTGAATTATGATTTTTGTTGTCATTATTTGAATCATAAGTACAGTTGAGCCAAAAGGGGTTGCAGTGGAAAAATGTTACAGTTTCTTAAAACAATGAAAACACTGAGTCGGTACAGCTGCTCCACTCCAGAGGAGTGGTCACAGTGACAAGAGAGACGGTGCTTCAGTATTGTCAGGGATGAACTTATACTCTCTTTAACAAAGTGCCAGCTGTTGTATTTTCTTTTTCATTTTAGAACGTTAGGTCAGCAATAAATGTCCAGGATGTTATTAGATGTCTCCTATGGTTACACTAAACAGGAAGGCTGTTGAATTTAAGTTGTTTTTGCTAAATCTTACATAAGTAGTTTTTGGCAAATTGGCTAATATCATATCTGGAGCTTAAACACAAGGTAGCTGTTGCCGAATAAACATATTTGATAACATCTACAAGCTGTCAGTTAGCAAACTGGAATGTACTCTTAAGTCATCACTGTTTGACTTCCTCAATGACTGATTTGCTCTCTCAATAGATTATTTATTGTAACTGGAAGAGGAAGAATTTTATTTGACCAATCCTTATTTTTCCCATCTGCAGAGTATGTTCAAGAAAACTGGGGATTTCCAATGTGCTGCTATCTGAAAGAGGAGAGATTGTGTTGTGGCCATAATGCAAGAACATCAGCATGCTTGGTATGGCTTTGTGTTCTAGAAAACATGAGAACTTTACCCAGATGCTATGTAGTTCTTTATTTTTAGCTAGATTATGTTAAATGCCAAATTTTAACAAAGCATCCCATTAATGTTTTTTAACATTCTGATTTGTAAAAAAGTAATGATAAAGATATTCAGTCATCCATTTTACATGCAGCATCATAGAAAAGTTTACATGTGGTTGTTTCACTTATAATACAAAATATATCAACTGCCACATCTTAAACACAGAATCAGTTCAGTATTTTATACATAGCTTAGTAGTATCTTTGTATACTTTGTAAAACTCACTTCACCTTCTAATTTTCTTATAGGAAACTATTAAGCTGTGAGATATGAAGTAACTTGTCAAAAATTTTATTTTGTTTGATTTGACTGATGTTCCTAAATGTGGAACACTTTAGGCCTTGGGATTCTTTGTTGATGATACCATGTTAGTTGACAAAAGAGCAGCTAAATATTACAGGTGAATAATTATCACAAAGCTTAAATGTTGTAGTTTGTTTGGAAGAATAAATCTGGAAAATTAAATTATAGAACAAGACCGTTATTAATATTGTATTATGTACATAAATATTCTGGTGATACATACACTTAAAAAGAAAATGATTATGGAGATATGAAATTGTTTACCTGTGTTGATGATTTTACTATGTATATGCAGGCACCACTACATATTGGTTGACTTAAACATAGAGTAACTTTTTAAAAATAAAATACAGTTCATTGAACAATTTGTTTACTGTCCAATCTTAGATAAATGAATTCTTTCAAAGCCCTTTGTTTCTAAGTTACTGGTCTACTACTATGTGCTTATATGTAGCTGCAGAGAATTTGTGTCCTTGGAATAGCTTAGAAATGTATTTGTTCTCAAACAACCATTTTCTTATATAGCACATTTAATGGACTTCCCTAGAAATTTCTCCTCTTCCTTCATGTCATGTGTGAATGAAACATGTTCAGAAGATTGTCAGAGTGAGAGTGACTCTTAGAATGTCACGATCGTGGAACGCTGCTAGCCAGGCAAAACTTTGAAATAGACTTTTTAGGGGAGTTAACTTGATGTACATTCGTTCTGTAATATTCACTGAAGCACACACCCCCGAAACCCCGCCCCGTCTGTGTGGCATGAGGAAAAAAGATAAGGATAAAGGGTCAAAGAACAAGATTCAGCTCATGATCAGTTGCTAACTAGCCACACAGTGTCTGGGAAGCTACTGATCATGCCAGTGATCTTATACACATGTAAAAAGGGCATTCAAAAAACATAGACTATAAATTACATTTTAATTCAAAAACTGTTTGTTTCAGCTATCACTTAAAAAACCTGTTTATGGAAACCTAGAAACCTGAGGCATATGAAGATCAATTATACTGTATCTACCTTATGTTTGGAATGTTTCCGAATTAAAATTTAAAAACATAATTTTAGTTAAATACTTAATATTCAATAAATGTGGAAATGTACATCTAAGAATGAAGAAATTTGTAAAGGCCTATTCCATTTATAAATTATATAGTAAATATCATATGTTCACTGATTATTAGAAATGTTAGGAAATACTATATAAAATGTATGTATTCTTAAGTTTAAATGCAAAATCAATACCATATAATTGTAGAAGTCTGCTGTAGTGTTCTATTAGTTACATTTTTGTCACTGTCACTATACACTGTAGTACCTAACAGTAACAGTGTAAGAAAGTTTTACGTGCCTTACAGTCTTGGTGATCTAAATTCACTGTGGCAGGGAAGGCAGGGTGAGCAGCCCAGTTCATGGCAGTGAGGACATAGTGTGCACACCACAGCATAATAGGAAGCAGGAGCAATCATGATACCACTAGTAACCAGTTCCCATCACATCACTGAACCCGTTCTTACCACTAGTGTTCAATCAGTTCCCCCCAGATAGACTGTCTCTCTCTCTCTTTTTTTTTTTTTTTTTTTGGTTTTTTGAGACAGAGTTTCTCTGTGGCTTTTGGAGGCTTCCTGGAACTAGCTGTTCTAGACCAGGCTGGTCTCAAACTCACAGAGATCCGCCTGCCTTTGCCTTCCAAGTACTGGGACTAAAGATGTGAGCCACCACCACCCAGCTAGACTGTCTCCTAAATGTTCCACAGCCCCCCAAATAGCACCAGCACCCAACAAGCATTCAAAAGACGTGGGAGCACTGTACGATTTAGCAAGTTCCATTTCTTGTCATGCTAGATCGAATGAAAGTAGGCTTTGAATTCATACAACATGCAGATTATATTTTTCCCTAAAATACTCTTCCATCTACAGTGTGTTCATGTTTGCTTGCTAAAAGATGAAATTAAGAGATTGGGAGGTGGTAGAGCACCTGCACAGTTAAGTACAAGAACCTGGGTTTAGTTCCTAACACTGGAGTAAAATAAAAAAGATGAAATTACATGTCCCATCAACTGTAAGATGTTAAGAAGTTTATAAACACATCTGTGTCTGTACCATACAGGGCAGCCATACTGAACATGAGTCAGACTGCCATCTTTGTTTCTTGCTGCTTTCTAATTCTTTCTGCGCTATTCATATAGTGTACAACCAGAATGTGATTGTGTTTTTGTATATGACACTTTTCCATTATAAATTAGTCTTAATTTATATACATATGAGCTAACATTCTTTAATAATATTGATACTTTTAACTATCTAAACTTACATGTTATCACTTAATTAATCATTTTGATGGTCACTATTGCAAATTCTTATAGAGTAGGTTTGTAAACCTCATAAGACTAAATACGTTAGCAATCTTTGTCGTGTTTCTTTTTTCCTTTAAGGCATTGGAATGGGTTGCAGTTGGCCAAGAGGTAAGTGAGAGTGTTTAATGTAGCTAATGAACAAAATAGTTTTTCTCTCAAGCCCTCTTCAAACTTGACCTGCTGTTGAACTTGAAACCCGATGGATTTTAATAAATATCACCTCTTCTTGTCACCTCTGCTCATGCAAGTGTATACACGCTCTGTGTGTTTAAAGTGAACTTTCAGAACGATACATTAAGGTTGGAAGAAAGTTTCCACATTATGCCCTTCTACCAACCTTTCATTTCTTCATATTGTATTAACAATATGTAAGTATTCCTAACAAACGTTGTAGCTGACCATCAGGCTTTTATGGGGTCAGTTCAAGCAAGGAAAAAGGCATAACATACAATTTATTACTTCAGTGTAATCTAAAACATGTTTCGTTTGGTTATTTGATACCCTTTTCAATTTAATTAGCCTTTAATTGAAATAACTAAATAGGCTTGCAAGTATAAATACAAATTTGATATATCCTAAATATCCATACAGTGTATTATCTTTTACAGTGTATTCATGAAAGTTACAAATTTTATAAAGCAGTTTTGAACATTTTCATAAAGTTATCCTGTTGAACCTAAATTAAAAAAATCTATTGTTTCTTTTTTCAAGGAACATTAATGTTAATTGTTTTTTTAAAATAATAATTGCAATAACAAGTATTACTTCCTCTAGGCCAGTTACTTTGATAAGTATTTTAGTGGTGGTGGCAGTTACTTTTTTTTTTTCTTCTTCCATGTATTAATTTTGCCTGTCTAAGGTGTCTCATGGTGGACAAAGTAAATGAAACAGGTAAAATATTTAAAGTGAATAGTAAATGTCAAATGTCAACCGTTGCCAGGCAGTGGTGGTACATGCCTTTAATCCCAGCACTCAGGAGGCAGAGGCAGAGGCAAAGGTAGGCGGATCTCTGTGGAGGTCAAGGCTAGCCTGGTCTATAGAGTGAGTTCCAGGATAGCCAGGGCTGTTACACAGAGGAACCCTGTCTCAAAAAACAGAACAACAACAAAAAAATTTAATTAGGCAAAGGGATCATAAAAAGGAGGAAGGGGAAGGGGGAGGGGGAGACCAACCTCCAGGGACAGGAGCAGGAGAGAGGGAAAAGGCAGAGAGGGAGAGGGAGAGGGAGACAGAGACAGACAGAGAGACAGGGAAAGAGAAGAGTGTGGGAGGTGGGCAGGGCCCTTTTAAAAGGGAACATGGTGAATGTGCACAGGTGGTGCTCTTAGGGCTGCAGCTGAGGACGTATCCTGTCAGAAGCCCAAGGGCTGGCCAGTACAGATGCCTGAGCACTAACAGAACTGTCTTCAACAATAATTATTACTATCTTAAAAATAATAGTTAAGTCCTTTTACAAAGTTGTGTCGAAACTTCTTGTCACTTGTGGTAATGAATACATAGAATTGTTAGTTATTTATGATTGTTATGCCCTGAGATGCAGGAGGCAGCTGTAAGATAACAAATTCTAGAATTTCAATCTCTATTTCTCACTAGATGTCCTTAACATCCATAGTGCATGCTTCTTTAATGGTTCCCTGGGGCCCTGGGAAAGTGAGAAGCCTTTATCATGTCGGTATCCACTAATGTGGCTGCTTTTTAAGTTTTCCAAGATTTGCCCATGCCTCCATTCAGTCTGAGGAGTTGGATATTTTTTTAACCTTACCTAAGTACATGATATGCAGCAGGAATTTAATGATATAGTCTAGCTCCCTAATGATTGCAGAACTGTGACTTGTAGCTTGTACCCTTTGCCATAGTCTGTATATCACATGCATAATCCATGCATCAGGGATACACTGTTTTTCCTGGTTTTAAAATACACTAAAAGTGTTAAGTGGCTTTATCACTCGCAAGAGAAGGAAAATCAATTCTCAGCCCCACCCAGTTTACTCCTAGAACAGTCAGGCATGGGCTGTGTGGGGAATAGGGTTGTCTTCTCCCTCCCTTCCTGCTGTATTCACCAGGATGGATCAGCCTAGTTATTCCAAGAATGAGCATTTAAAGGCACTTCATAATTCACATCCCTTTCTCTTAGGAAACAACCGCTAAGCTTTAATTTGCTAAGCGTAACTTGGGAATGATAATTGATTTTTGTCCCGTTTTTTTTTTTTTTTTGTAGGTTTACTGCCTTAAAACAAAGACAAAATTTTATTTAATGTTTGCTTCCTACTGAATTCAAACATATTTATTCCAGTTAAAAATACATTAAAAACAAATTAAGCTGGGAAGATAACTTTTATAACAGTTTATAAAGCGCTTGCTTGCAAGCCAGATAACCTGAATTCAAACCCCTTGTTAAAAAGTAGGTATGGCCAGGCATTGGTGGCACACGCCTTTAATCCCAGCACTCGGGTGGCAGAGGCAGGCGGAGCTCTGCGAGTTCAAGGCCAGCCTGGTTTCCAGAGCGAGTGCCAGGACAGGCTCCAAAGCTACACAGAGAAACCCTGTCTCAAAAAACAAAACAAACAAACAAAAAAAGTAGGTATGACAGCCTGTACTTGTAATCCCAGCCCTGGCATGGCAGAGACAGCCCTGGCACTTGCCAACTAGCCAGCCCAGTCTACTTAGTGAGCTCTAAACTGGCAAGAGACCGTGTTTGGACAGAAAGATAGACATGGGCCGTTCCTATGGAGAAACACCCCAGCTTTCCCGCTGCATGTACGCACACAGATTTACACAAGAACACAATATGCATCCAGAGAAAATAAATTAAAATTCAATCTGTCACTTCATAGGAGAGCAGAATTTGAAAAGACTAATAGGAAGAGCAATCAGTGCTCTGAGCCATCTCTCAAGGCCCATATATATCTCTTTTTAAAATAATTATTTTGCATGAATGCTGGCTTGTTGCTAGGATTATTTTTACTTTATTTCTGAACTGTCAGAATCATGAACTCTCTTGAGGTAAAGTGACATTTTGGTGGCTTTTGTAGTTTTTTAAGTTCAGTTTCCAGTACCCATATTAGACCGATCATAACCTCCTATAACTCTAGCTCCAGGGTTTTCAACACCTCTGAGCCTCTGTGGTCACGTGCACACATGCCTGAATGCAGACACACACATGCATATAATTTAAAAAATAAAATAAAACGTGGGGAAAAATACTTGGACCATTCATGAGACACTTCTATTTTTCTCTGCAAAGCAGTGTCTTCAGTTTCCTTTGTCCTTTTTAACTCTATTCTTCAACTCTGTGGTGTTGTGATCTTTCATGCTTTGGACATATTATTTAAAACATAGGTACTGTCTTTCACAGTGTGAATCCTGGGTTTTATCTCTAGTTCATTCCCATTGGGAAAGGGCCTCACAATGTTCTCTTTCACACATGTCCTTCCTGACTCTGCTGGACTTCATAGATGATATGGATGGACTTTATATATACCCTCTTAGCTGATAAGTAATCTATTTGGAGCAACAGCTTATTTTTATTGATTATTGCTTTTATTCCCCATCTACTGATTATTCCTCTTATGGTTTCTCGTTTTAGAATTACTTTCTCAGTGAGAGTTAGTCTCAGGGTAATCCTTTAATTTACAGTGGAAAAACTATAAAAATCCTACTCTTTAACAACAAAGTCAAGTTATAACATTTATGAGTTCCCAAGTCTTTAGTATTAATTTTGTTTCTGGATTTCATTTATTTATTATTCTTATATACATATCTACATGTTTTTTTTCAGCTTCCCACCAAATCACTCTTCTGCCATGCTGTTCTTCAGAATATCATTAAAGATTATTATGGAAACACCAAATGGTATGGGAATTTTACTTTGTAACTATGCTGGGACCCAGAGGTAGATAGTTTTCCTAGGACATGAAATACCTTTACTTCAATAGCAAGCAACCAAATAATGAACAGATAAATAACTGTGTTATATTGTTAGATAAGTGAATTTTTAATATTTGGGTAAATTTATGAAGGACAAATTATAATTAGTTGTTGTTCATGTATGTTTTGAAAAAACTTTTTTTTCCGAGAGAACATGGCATTTATTAATAATAACTCAAGGATAATCAGTGTGGCCAAGGATTGGCCCAAACAAAGAGAAACAGGGATGTCCTTAACTTTGGTACATTTCATCAACTGTAGCATTGGAATAATAGTGCAGTCTGGTGGTTTTCTGGAAACAGAAAATGTGACCGTGAAAGTAAAGCTAGTGTGTGGCAGTCAGTTGGAAGTGAGTCAGTGGTGGTCCCTTCATTAATAAAAGCACCTTGCTAACTCTGGGAGCCCATCTCACATGGAGGGAGACTCCCTGAGCCTAGACACAAGGGGGTTGGCCTAGGCCCTATCCCAAAGAATATGACAGACTTTGCAGACCCCCTTTGGAAGGCCTCACGCTCTCTGGGGAGCAGAAAGGGTATGGGATAGGTAGGGTATTAGTTGAGGGGGCAGGAGAGGAGAGGAGAGAGAGGGACCTGGGATTAACATGTAAAATAATCTTCTTTCTAATTAAAATAAGCAAAAAACTTATATATATATATCCATACATACATACACACACACACACACACACACACACACACACACATATATATATATATATATGACCTGGTGTTAAAAAAAAAGCACCTTGCTAATACTCCACTTTGTTCTGTTAAAGGGATTGGATAATCCTTCCAGTGAAGCATTGTAACTAAAGCCAAAATTTCCATCTCCCTCGACTCTGACATACATTGACACTCAGATATGGCATGAGGGTCCATCGGAAACCCAAGAAATGCATGTTTTTACTGGGCTCAAACTGGGTCTCCAAATAGAGACTTCTGAATGCAAACACCTAGGTTTACAAGTCTCCACTGAGTAGATTGTAAATTGGATAAGGCATCTTGGGACATGTAATGGAACAGCAGAGCAGAAATATTCAGTGAGGAAAACTGGGAGTTGGGGTTTGGTGAGTATTCCTTCTCAGTGTTGGGAAGAGTATACAGTGAATTTTCAGCATATGCAACCCTCCTTCCCTAACCCTTCCCAGATCTAGCTTCCTTCCATCCACACCCAGCTTTTTTGCCTTTTTATCCCCCCACCCATCCAATAAGGTTAATTTGTGCTGCCCAAATATTCTTGGATGTGTGTCCTTCTACTGGAGTGTGTTTGACTTATCAGGCAGGGACTACACCAACTAACCCTTCCTTTCCAAGACCTTCTGAAGTGCTAATAGCTCCTCAGTTAGTGGAACTTTATGCTCACCTCCCCTCTCTGTGATTTGGTCTGGCTTGGGCTTGCATGGCCTTGTTCATATTGTCACAACTGCTGTGAGGTCACATGTGCAGCTGCACTGATGTATCCAGAAGACACAGTTTTCTTGGAGTCATCTACTCAATGGCTCTTAGACTCCTTTTACCCCTCTTCAGCATGGTAGGGTCCTGTCAGTTAAGGCTGGATAAATAACGGGCATTCTAATGTCCCTTGTTAAGAAGTACCCTATCACTAACAACTTAGTCTTACAGAAACCACATGAGAAACATGACTTCCTCCTACCAAACTATCCAGCACTGATGGGTTGCACCAAAGGCAGTATAATAATTAGAATTTGCACCATTTCTCAACAGTTATAGCTACTCCACCGTCCTTATTTTTTGCTGTATTTGGGAATGAACCCTAGCATGCTAGACAAACATTTTACAACTGAACTGCATCATTCCTGCCTCCCCCATTTGATTCTACTCTGTGATAAGAAGCATACTCACCTATATAAGAAATAGGTACTTTTTTTCTGTTGTAATTATGAGTTATCCAAGTTTTATCTTAATTTTTTTTCAGTCTGACCACATAGTAAAATGAAAACCCAGATTTTTGAAACTTTCTCACAGAATTACAGCAGATCTTTTAATCTGTAATATGTGGTCAAGCTAAAATTAAAAGCACTATGTATTTTAATCTGAAATGAATGTAAAGATTTTACAAAGTGGGTCTCTTAAATAATGTTTGAAGTCTTCGATGTGTATTAGCATGGAAAAGGTACAAGATTGTGGTTCTTTCATGATTGTTGGGGAAACTGAGCATCTGTACATGTCTGTTCTTTTTTTGGTTGTTTTTATTTATTTAGTGTACATCTACTTCATCGTGTCCTTGAAATCCATATAGCTGTGTGCCTGCTGCCATGCTCTTATGGTTGTAGTTTTGGAAAAGCAAGTGGGTGGTGTTGGGTTGCGTTGAGTAGAATTTTAATTAGATCTAGTGTGTTCCTTTTTATTAAAAGACAATACAATTCCTCTTTAGCATGCTGGCCATGCTTTATTCTCACAGAGGACTCTCTTTTAATCTGCCCTTAATTTCAAGTCATTTTTCGTTCAGACAATCATTGCATTTTTCTAACTTGTTGAAATGTTTGATAATTTTCCACTTTTATAAACCTAAACTAAGAGATACTCATTGTCTCTTTCAAGGCCACTTCTAATCTGTTACAAATATCCTTCCACTAAGATCATTCTTTGCTCTCTGAGCAGCTGCCCATGCACCCTGGCTGCACTAGATTATTGCATTCCTGTGAAGCTATTTTTGTGCCTCCTGTGCTTTTTGGAACCCTTTTATCTACCAGCTATATTCTATTCCCCATTACTTCCACCACTTAACCCCTAGAGCATGCAGCAGATGAAATCGTTTGTGTCCTTGAAATTCCACACTGTAGTTAGCATGTCTTCTCACCTCTTCTTCCTTCTGTAGTACTTAAGTTGTAATCAATAGCTTTTAATGATATTCTTAGTAAAATGACATTTCCTTCTACTCCTCAACCACTTTAAGAATTCCTAAATGGCCACACCTGTAAAATGAAAAGCCTGGACCACATTTTTCTTGTTGATCATCTCCCAACTCGATTGTGGTCTTATATGTTTCCTTCCCTTTACAACAACAACAGTAATAATAATAACAACAACAATAAACTAAAGTACTGCTATTATTTTTGTATTTCCCTTGAATATATTCTGCTCTCTTTTACTTACCCCACTTGAGCAGACTACCCATTTCAGAAATCTAAATATCCCCAGGTTGCTAAATACCACAGTCACTTCTCAAGCCCCATCTTTCTTTGCCTGTCATCTATGTTGTCCATAGTCTATTCTGTGTTGAATCGTACTATTTCCTATTCTTGTGAAACATTGATTCCCTTAATGTTTCTTGAAAATTCCAGAGACACTTGGGGCTTTGCATCTGATATCCCTGGCTGGAATTCTTCCCACAGACACTCTCCTGGCTCTCTTAGCACTTCCTCCGGTTCTTCACTCAGGGTCATCATTTGCAGATTATCTACTAGTCACCCTCACTCCTCACCACCTATTTTGCCTCCTCTCACGTCCCTCAAAAAATTTAAGAGAAGAAAGGAAAAAAGAACAGAAAAATGTAAAAGGAGAAATCTCATCATGGCAGCTGTAGTGTGACACAGTGAGTCACAGAGTAAACCCTCTTGTCCGTATGTCTTTACTTGCAAGTGTTCATTGCAGAGTCATTGGTCTGGTTCAAGACCTCTGGTTTCTGCTACACTGTCAATGCTGGGCCCTCACTGGAGATCCTTTTGTTGCTGTGTGTCATGGAGATCCTGCAGCTTTAGGTCTGCAGGACCAGCCCCTTCACATGCTCCCACAGATCATGGATGGGGTGGATACTGTGGTGGGCCACCTCATAACCCTGGTTCTGAGCCTGGGTTGTTTCAGGGTTGGTCAGCCCACCAGCTCTTCCAGAGCTCTCCAGCATTGCCCAGCTAGCTCACCTCTTGCAGTGATGACCAAGGGTGAGTCCAGTTCTGCTCTCATGCCCTCAAGGTCCGCACTCCCAACACTTGGACCATCAGGGCTTGTTACTGTGTTGCCCTGGTGGGGTGCAGGGCCCACTTTCCCAAGTGCTACAGGTGGTAAGGGGTCAGCTCCTCACCCTCCCATCACATGGCAGATGAGGAGGGTGTGGCCAGCTATCCCACTCTGGAACCCTCTGGGCCATCTCACCCACACCTCCACCAACAGGGTCAACTTGACTGTGCTGCCCAGGTGAGGAGCAGGGCTTGCTTTCCCAAGGGCTGCAGCTGGTAATGGGGAGGATGTTTGTCACAGTCTGCAAGGGTTCAGGGGGACATCTCTTCCCTGCCCATTCTGCCACATGACAGAGTGGGGACAGCTGGCCCATGCTCACAACTTCGAGGTTGGCCCACCTACAAACAGGGTCAGCCTAGTTGTGCTGCCTAGATGAGATGCAGGGCTGTTCCCATTCTCCCTGAGTGTTGCAACTGGTAAAGTAGAAGGGGAGAGAATCTTTACCTAGCTCCCATCACTCCACAGAGGAGGGAGGTGGTACCACCTAAGTCCCCCTCATTCCCTCAGGGCTGGCTCACCTGCATCCCTGTCTAGAAGGTCAGAACTGTAGACAGGGGCACAGGGCTCCTTTTCCAGAGAGCTGCAGTTGGTGAGAGGTTGGTACAGGTCCTCCACTGCTGCAGGTGGCAAGGGGAGGGCATCTTACCCTCACCCAGGCCACCACATGGCATACAAGAATGGCAAGACCCACTCTTCCATTCTCTTCCCCCCCCCCCCCAGATGGAAAGGGGAGGAGGGGGATGGGGAGGGAGACAAAGGAAAGGACAGGAGAGGAGGGAAGAGGGTATAAAATCCTACCCACTTTCCCTTTCTCATACCCTCAGGGCCAGCTCGACCATGCCCCTGTACACAGGATTAGCACTACTATGCTACCCAGGTGAAGTGTAGGACCCTCTGTCCTGAGTGCCATAGCCAATGAGGGGCAAGACCAGTTCTCCCTAGTGTTGC